CTTTTGTGCTCTAACAAAAAGTTTTCGTTGGACAATTTTACTATTAAAACTACTCCCCTCTAGTTCTTAACCCTGACTCTAACCCTAAACTTAACGAATTTTAAGAATTTTGTCTGCGCCACCAACCTGGTACACATTTTCCGGATGCTAATCTGATTTCATTTTAATCTGTTACAATAATTATCAATATATATAAACCTTGTATTTAACATTTTTATTACAAGCAAGCATCTAGACAATGTCCAAAAAATGCATGCATCTTTTTATTTTGTTATTGAAAAGAAATATTATGTAAAAAGAAAAGGAGAAATGTGTGATTATAAATGTTCAACTTGATTATTAAATTGCTAAAGTAACCAGAAAATCTGCCCAATTTCTAACTGAATATAAAAACAGTACAGGCCAAATAATTTTTCATCATTCCCAAGAACTTTCAACTACCTCTCTTACTCTTCTTGTATATTCTTTACGATTCTCCCTGTACAAATTTGCGGCTTCAGCATTTGCAGGTGAATTTGGATTTGGATCATGGAGCAAACTTTGGATACTTGTCAAGATAGCCGCAACATCATATGTTGGGGACCACCTATTTTGTAGAATATCAAGGCACAGCTCACCATTAGCATATACGTTTGGATGAAACATTTTGGAAATGAACTTGACAGATGGTGGCTTGTTGGGATAATTCTCGTCAAATTGTAGAGCCAATTTAAAAGTTCCATCTTCAAATGGAGTGTCAGCTATAATTGTAAAGTGTTTCAACGTAATAATGTTAAAAAGAGATTAATTTTCGAGGCTATTTTCAAATATTATCTATAAAAATGATCCATAAATATTAATGTATCTTTTTATGTGGCCGACTAAACTGAAATAATATCTTTTCGTAATAAAATTTGCTATATATGACTAATAAACTTCCTTAAACGAACTAAGTAAAGACATAGTCGAAATAAAAAAGAAACAATTGCGGCACCATTACATAAATGCTTAAGAACCGATCGTTGATTTCAAGAAATAAATCTGAAACAAATAAAATCTAAAGTTCAGAAAGTAACATACCAGGACCGAAGATGACTGCATTCCATAATAAAATATTATCAGGGCAAGGTGCGCCAGAGATACCACCCGGTGGGTCATTTTGAAGGCGCTTAAAATCACGCATGAGCCGGCGACGCGCTTCAGTTGACATGTTTTATCTTTCTTTGTTAAAGTAATTTGAGTAAAAACTTTTAATATCTAAACGATTAAATCCTCGCACACTGCTGTTCTGTTTCAATCGACTACAGTAAAGTTAAAAGTAATTCTGAAAACTATAAGTCGTTAATTATATGATGCTTAAATCGGATTTCCAATCAGAATAGACTTAAAATTAAAACGTGATAAATGCAATCTTTATCATGTGATTTAAAAAGCTACAATTACAACATATTAAATGAAAAAAAACGTTGCATGTCGCAGCTGATGCTGAAAACGGCTGATGCTGAAATTCGGATCTATTTTGATATGAATTTTTTAAAATTTTTTCCCCGCTTTTTTTTATAGTTGAGTTAATGTTTAGAGTTAGACTTGATAATTAACAAGTATATGTGGATTTTAGCAGGGCTTATATTTTTAAATCGAGACCCAAATTTCAGCTTCAGCATCAGCTGCGACAATAAATTTTTTGGTCCTGGTTTAACATCACAAACCATGAAACAGCAAGGAAATTGAACAATAAATTTTTTGTATTTGATCTAGGGATTGATGAAGATTATATATATTGAAAATAATGATGTTGATGAACTGAAAACCAAAAAGATTTGTGTTTACCTGTCTTTTTAGGAAGCAAATATCTTGAAAAGATGGTTTGGGGCTATGAGGTGAACTTACAATTGTATAGTAGTATGACAGCATTAAGAATTATTAGTATATTAAAGACAATTGTTTAAAGAATAATTATATAAAATCTTATTAGTTATTTAATACTCCTTACAAAATCAGATTATATGTTATTAGACAATACAAATCATTGTATAAAACTTGTAAGGAAAGATATGAAAACAAATTTAAAATAAAATTTAAGAGTAAGAAGGATATTTTATAAATATTAATAGTATTTGTATATGATATTAATTGTCACAGATGATGTTGAAAACAGATGATGCTAAAAAAGAACCCTAAGTAATATATAGATAGGTTAGATCTAAGTTTGCTTATTTTCATGTCAAATTTGCTTTAAAAATGCTTATTTTTGAAAAAAATTTACTATATAAAAATGCAATGTTTATTGAATTTCCCTTAAAATTTCCTTTTTTAGGGGTCGTCTAAAGCCGTGTCCATCATGTGACCTAAAGCCAATAGAATTGTTTATTTTGATCGACACAGATCAGCCCGAAGAGACAAAAAACAGCGAAAAAAAGTGAAAATCACAAAAAATACAAGAAACAATAGTCTAAACCCATCTTGGTGCATTAATAAAAAATGATGGGAAGACAATTTTACTATAAGACATGCCCTGACCCTAACCCCAAACTAATCCTTACCCTAACTTTAATTAAAAACTAAAAACACGTGACTGGACACGGCTTTAGACGTTCCCCCTTTTTTAGGGAACCGTTAAAGCCAGGTACCATCACGTGATCTGATGATTAGTGGCGTCGTAACAGCCAACCTCCAAAGACAATTTTATCACGTGATCGATGATCATTTAAAAAAGCAAACCCCGGCAAAAATAAAAATTTTTAAAACTTTGAGCAAAGATATTTCGACAACCACCTGACCAAATCTAATAAACTTTTTTTTATTTGAATTCTATGAATCCATATATTTCAAATAAAAAAATTCATTGAATATGGTCAGGCAGTTGTTGAGATATCTGCGCTCAAAATTAAAGAAAAATCAATGTCAAAATAAAAGTTGAGTCAAATTTTTTAAAATCCAATGAATTTTTTTTTATATGAATCCTATGGATCCATATAATTCAGATAAAGAAAATTTATCAGTGGTTGTCGGCTTAGAGTTAAAGAAAAATCGAAATGTTTATCAAAATAAAAGATGCGCTAAATTTTTTTTTTAAACTTAAGCGAAGATATCTTAACAATCATCCAACCCCTTTAAAAAATACTTTTTTAATATTAAAAAAACTTAATAAACATAAGAAAATCTTTATTTATTTATTTTTTTCTTTTTTCACTAAAAATTTTGCTTACTAATTCGATTTTTCTATTTTTTTAAAATGGGATCTAAACATAATTTTAATTTTTGAATAAATTCCGCCTTTTCTTTTTCGTTACCATTTTCCTCTATACTTCAATACTGATTGCGTGTTCTTTCCATTAACTCATTAACAGTAAGCCTTCTATTTTTTGCTGCTTTATTAGTTTTGTCTTTTTCAAATGATTCTAAACTTACCAACTCACAATGTTCATAAATTTCGAAACTACTCTCATCAAACATTTGTTGAAAATTTCTTCAAACATTAATCGTCAGCAATTTTCTGGGACCATACTTTTGCTCGTGGAAGATATGTTTGCAAGGGAGCATATATTTTCAAAAAAAAATGCAGTCACACTCAGCTGACATTAACCCAGGTAATGCTTTCCCTTTTTCTACTCTGCTATCAACAGCAAAAATTTCACTAACTATTAATTTTTGGATTGGAAAGGGGAATTTGTGAATCTCCTTAATGATATTGTCATCAATGCTGAGGGCAGAAATTTTTTTAACATGAAATTCGAATACAACATAATCCGAATCTGAACGCCTTTTCAAATCAAGCGCAACGATGTTATTATATATGCTAATTAAACCATGTTGGGGGGAAGTTGTTCTCTTTAACTCACTGTGATATGATTCCAAAGCATTCATCGATGTTACTTGTAAAAGTAATGGAGAATGTTGGTGGGCCCACAATGCCCACTGGTGTGTATTTTTCAAATAATACCTTGAAATGTATTTTTTAATAGGGGGAGGGCACATTTGTTAATTGATTTTTGGACAAACATCTCACAACCAATCTTTGTTTGCTTGTGCATGGCTTGGATCATCTTGTTCCGAGTTTCTGCTTCATAGATTTTGGTCATCCAAGTTCGCATAACATGCATGGTGCAAAAAATCATCTCACATTCCTGTTCGCCTTTTTGAAGGCCCAGGAAAGCCGTCATAATACTTCTGGTTTCCACACTACTTTGGTCTGATAAAAAATATCGAGGTTTTCAGGAGCTACAAAATCGCCGCATTATTACCAATGCTTCCGCGACAGTATTACTGTCTTCATTACTAACGAAAAAATGTCCACCGACGTCCCAACAACCATATCTGTCCCGAATATATAGCGTAAACAAACACCAGTCATATTTGTTTGTTTTGTGTGTGGAGTCGATTAGAGTTAGCTATCCATACTGCTGAAGTTTTTCTAATTGTTTTGGATGCACAAAAACAAAACTATAAGTGGATTGGTGATGAATTCTAAACAATCCAACTTTATACCCTTCTTTTTCTAAAAAAGAAACCACATTACAAATATCCTGCGTTAGATTAGAGGCACCTACAAGATGAGTATTTTGAGGCCCACGGACTTTATTCTTTATATTGGCGACCTCCCTCCATTTTAACTCCTTTACGCTCATACTAAGATCAAGCCTTTCAGTGGCATATTCTTTAATTGTATTGACTATTGCGGGTGCGGGATAATTCTTAACTGCTTCTTTTTCAACCAACATCCGGATTGCTTGAGACCGCTTTAATTTTTCACTTTCTTCTAAACCATGTGTATAGTTGGAAGAATCTTTGATACATTCAATACGCACTTTCTGTTCTGTAACCAGCCATGATACTTTTATTTTTGCAAAGCATAAATCTGCCTCACGGACCTTTGTTTTTCGTCGCTTTTCGCTTGGAACATCATCTTTGTGCGTGCTTGATTTAAAGAGTTTATTAAAGTGGCATATAAAGATTGTCCAAAAATTTCCATTGACATGCTTTTTGTAATTAAATTTCATCCAAACATTCGTTACTAAAGACCACCATTCTGTATCAAATTCTTCCATTGGCACTTTGAACGGTTGCTGAACATTAAAAAGTAATATGCGCCTTTGAGAGGGTGTAAAACTTTTAGTTGAGTTCATTACAATGGTATTCGTCAAAGCGGTTTGTTCAGGAACTTGTGAAAAACTAAATGCATTTATTGTTTGTGGGGAGTTTTCTTTGTTGGAAGTATTCAATTTTTTTTTTTTTTTGTCTAAAATAAATTTTTTTTTTATTATTATGTTTTTTTTTTTTGCTTGGTTTTTTTTTTTGCAGGTTGTTTGTCAAGTATTTATTATTAAAATTTTTTTTTTTCAGTTTTTGCAAGTATTTTATGAATACTGTTTCAATAAGGCGGTTGTTTTATGAAGCTTGTAGGAAGCTATATACTGTCATTACAACCACATAAAAAAAAATTTGCCAAAGTTTCATTATACCTTGTACATACGTACATACGATGTATGTATAAAATTTGTCTTTGTTTATGTTGATTATCAAACATAATCTGTTTTATATCAAAAAAATTTCTTGAATTTAATTGGTTGTGTTATTACATAATAGCTCCGATTCAGGTCAATGATCGCCAGATCACGTGATGGTACTTGGCTTTAACGGTTCCCCTTTTTAGTAACCTCTAACCTATCTATGTATTACTTGGGTCCTGCTGAAAATCACATGATCACATGATGATCTTCTGTATAAACAAACCTAAAGATGCTTATAGAACTCTAGTATCACCAATTAAAAATTTTACTGTTAATGTTAGGGTTAGAGTTTAGGTATGATCATATTTTAATTATTCTAGTAAAATTAAATGTAATATATGTAAAATCAACAAAAAACCTTCTATATCCTAACCCTAACTCTAACATCAATAGCGATAGTAATGCTAGGTGTTTATGCAGAAAATCATCATGTGATTATGTGATTTTTAGCATCATCCATTTTTAGTATTATCCATTTTTAGCATCATCCATTTTCAGCATCATCTATTTTCAGTATCATCCACAACATTAATTAATTGAATAGTGTATATTCATTCTTAAAGAATATTATATTACTGAATCATTGGCTATGATAAAAAATACTTTAAAAATAACATTAGACAAATTTGAAAGGTTTTATTTTCATATATTAATTTTATTGAAGATTTGTAAGAATTAAACATCTATTAATAACATTAGATCCTAGTATAAGAATATTTATAATGTGTTACAACTCTGCAGATTGTGTGATTAAGTAAGGCAGAAAAGACTTCAACTATATTGTAAGATTGTATAAACATTATAATAAATTATATGATTTGTATATCAAAATTATGAAAAAATACAAAAAACAAAATATTTGTTGCAAAGAAAGATATATAGAATTTGGTTCAAAATTTATAATTTAATTGATGAATTATATTATAAATTGTCCAAATAGCTTTGTAATCAATATTAAACAATACTTATACTAATATTTGAGCCTTCAAATATGATAAAAAGAACCAAATGAAAAATCAGATTAAAGATCATAGAAAGTATATTGTAATATAATATTATTAGACTTTTGATTAACAAGTTATTTTATTTGACTAAATTTTTTTTTTTTAATCTTCAAAGGTGAAACTATACCTCTATCTTAATTAAATTCTTTACAAATTAAATAAAGAAATTATATTATTTGAACTTTATATCTATAAAATACTAAAACTAGAGACTCAGACAAAGCTCTTATTAACTTGAAAATTATAGGAGTTATCTGTGACCTAAACCTATATTTGATTAAATGTTTAAGTAATATGTTTATATAATTTTATAAAAAAACATTTTATAAATAAGATAAAAATATTATCAACTTAGAGTGTGATGATTTAGTGAAGTGGTCAAGTTGTTACACTCCCAAGTGGCAAAACAAGAGTTTGAATCTCACAGGCGACAAAATTCAAATTTTACAGAATGTATTACAACAGACTGTATGTAATCTGATGGATCATTGGATTTGTAAACTTGGTTGTATCAGAGGTTATTGGAAAGCTGTATAATTGTAGTGTGATGTATGAGTTATACTAAACTCAAGTGAAACAGTTGTATAAATCCAGATATTGAAGCATACAGAAGCCCGCTTGGCAAGTTCTGAGTAGAAAGATAGCACAGATCTTTAACAGTATTATGTAAAAGGCTATCTAAGGGATCTGGATACCAATTTTAGTAATCTGAACAAGGACTGGTGTTTGGCAAAACACTATATCAACTAGGTTACTGACCAAGTAACTGGAAAAAAAAGACCTAACCGTAAGGACCAAAGGCAAATCACAGCCCTTCTGGGCTATCTAGATTGGGAGTTTAGATTGCTAATAGAACTTAGATACTAGTAATGGTCTATAAAGTGTATACTGGGATTTGAGTAAATTCTACAAAGGCAGAAGTAAGTAACAGTAGTGGCTTCGGCTCGCAAGTACTTGTTCTCAAACTCAGTATAACTAAAGCCTAGGTTAGCCAGATTGTGGATATGAAAAGCTCTAGCAGGTTTACCTTGAGGACAAAGGGCTCTTATAAGTGAGTCTGCCTTAAAGTTCTAAGTTAGAGATCTGAAAATAAGGGGTACTAATGTATTCTTGCTTAGTTAGAAGATTAATATATATAGGCACAGAGGGTTTAAATGGGTAACTTGGTAAGGTTATAGATATGGTAGATAGTGTAGAACCTTCAGGTGTTTACTTAAATAGCCAATCAAAAGTTGTATATGTGGCTAATTATACTTTCCAAATATGTGTACAGTATAAGGTTCTATACTGTAAAAGTTAACAATAATCGAATAAAAGGACAGCGACCAAGAGGTCACTTTAAAACCAAAAAAAAAATATATTATTAATTTATTGTTATAATAATACCTCAAATAATATTCAAAAGAATAATACAGATAAAACAAATATATAATTAAAAAAATATTCCAAAAAAATAATTTTTTTTTTTAATTTTTTTTTTTTTAAGGTGAGGTTTTGCTTTTATCTTTATTGAATAATTTGTATTAAGAATCCACTAAGAGATTCTCTGGCTGATAAGACCAATAATTACAAATATTTTTACAAAAATAAGACTCAAACTATAGATTTTAAAATCTAATTTATCTGCAATCTAAACCTACT